TCCAGCAGGACCTTCTCTGCTGCCACTCCGTGCGCCTATCAATTGACATGCGGTTGCAATTGCTGTGGCGGCTGCTTTCCAATTGATCAATTCAACAACGAGCCGTGGATTATCAAAGCGTTGCCTCGCATTGCTCCGAACTAGTTCATCTGAACTGGCGAACTCTGCTTGTGATTAATGAACCGTTCGTTCCATACAAGCGTTCATGAGCAATTCGTTCTGTTGCACTCTCTGAATGTTGATTGACGATTTGTTCTTTTGAACTAGTCAGCAGTTCATCAGTATATTCAGTTCATGTACAAGCTGAACTAGTGAAAGAACTAGAAGAACTAGAAAAACTAAAAGTAGAAGATGCGTATATCAATGATTTAATTATTCATCAAATGGAACTGAAATTGACAACTTCAGTGGGTAACGATAACTATAAATCGATATTTATCGATTTATCATCATCATAAATTTATTCATGTTAAATTCTAAATTTATTGAACTTTCTTTAAATATTTATAGCTCTGTCATAGATCTAGTTCACGGCTTTGAAATGACCAATTGAACTTATTCGACAAATTGAACCTGAAAATCCAACTCATTTGTGTGTGAGTGTGCACCGTCTGTGTGTGTGTGTGTGTGTGTGTGTTTAGACAATATTTGTGGATGATTGCATGCTTGTGCAAACGGCTTTCATGTACGTGCACAGCAAATTTATTTGCACGATTGCAATGGATGCTGTGCGCCAGGTTTGCTGCTCGGAGGGCGTGCTCCACCGCCAACGCCTTCCCCGCCGCTCGCCTCTATTTAAAAATTTGCCAGCGACTGCGTTGGCGCTGTCAAAGTTTGCCTCGGCGCCGGCCTGACGTGCGCCATAAAAGTCTGTTGCATAAACCAATTTCGCATTTGCCTTGCACGAAATGCATCTGAGTGGTCGATGAGATGGGGAGGCGTGGAGGCGTGGAGGCGAGGGCGTAGTCTAGTCTTGTGCTGCGCACTGGATTTGGTTTGGTGTGGGGGCGGTGGATTATGCAAACGTTTTGCCGCTGTCAACGCAACTTGTACGCATTTGGCAGTGCGATTGAACGCAGAGTCCCCAAATCAACTGCAGGCCCCAACTGCTACACAGCCGCCCAGCCGCCCAGTCACGCCCCTTTTTTGCGAATCGTTGCTGATAACGTAAACCGCTTTGATTTTTATTTAACTGCACATTTCGCTTAGAGCATCGCAGCTTCCACAGCCGCCCTCCAATCAGTCAGCCCCATCCCCAGCCCCATCTCCATGCCGCCCAATTTTCTGAGCCCTATTTCGCATTCAACTCTATTGACGTTTAATGGCAAAGTTGTGCTGAATTTTTGCTGTCGCTGCTCGAATTGCTGCGGTTTTCTGCCAAACGAATTTTCATGAATTTTCACGAGTTTTCACGAATTTTACCAGTTGGCAGTTTCGCCATGGTATCGTTTTTCTCAGCGTATTTTCTTTTTGCCGATTGCGATTTCCATTTTCCACGTATTTTCTGCGTTTTTTATTTATTTTTTTTTATTTTATTTATGTATTTATTTATTCGCTAGCTGCTCAGTTGCCGTTGAAATTGATAATTTAGAAAATTGCTAGCAAATATCAGAGCAAATGTCGCCGGCCCCACTGCCAACCCAGCCCCAGCCCCAACTCCAATCCACAACTATCCGCCACACCCACGCACCGTTGCCATCATCGAGTTTCTGGCACATTGAAGTCTCGAGTTTCGTATCTAAAATCTGTGCATGATTTGTAGTTCCTTAATAAGTCCTGAGGATTCGTTGTAAGATAATATCAGCAGGTTCATTAGTAACTAATATTTCGGCATTAAATCAGCTATGCAAAATAATGTATGCGTATACATCAAACTTCTATCGTTAGCTCCTTCAATGTTCGTGTTTCTTTTTTAATGAATTGAAATTAGATTTACGTGTCGAGCCTTAGGCAGTCAGGTACCGACTGATCTAGAGTATATACCATATATATATAAATATATTATATTTAAATGATTTCGTTACAAATGTCCTGAGTTGCCCGGGCTTGCCTTTTAAAGCCTGTTCTCAGCAGCACAGTCAAACAGCTGCTCTTTCAATCAGAGCTCAGAGCTCGGAGCTCAAGCTTTGGCAACTGTCTAACACAACTGGCTGCTGCATTTACTTAGCTGTGCAAGCACTGCCATATGTAAACGTCCTTTCCAACACTTTTTCTGCACTACTCTCTGTCCTGCACTCTATATTGATGCATCGCACTCTCGCTGTTCGTGCTTCGAGCAGCCTGTTTTCCAGTGTGTGTATTTATTTGCTGCTCTGCTTCGTCTATCATACTCTACGGCAACTGGCTATGAGGACTGGGCTAGCAATTATGCTTCATGTGTATGTACGGAATACTGGCTGGAAGCTCCCTGGGCTTTGGTTGTTTCTCGTCGTCAACTTTAAGAAACTGAACCACAATTTCGAGCTGCTTATCGATCATCAATAGATCAGTCCATCGATCAATCAAAATTTCAAAGTGATCTTTTATAACTTTAAGCCCGTTTGATCTGCTCAGCTCCTTAGACTAAAGCTGTACATCTGCCGATGCATCATTCATAAATCCATCAGTCAGTCAATCAATCAATCACGCAGTTAGTTACTCAAATTTATATTGATAGAGATCGTGTTGATCAATCATCAATCAATCAATCAATCCGGCAATTAATCAACTAGTTATTCAAATTTAAATTGATAATGGCATCTTTTGTTATTGCCCTCTGAAGGCTACGGCTGTAGGTTGATCATCGTTCAATCAGTCAATCAATCAGTCAATCAATCAATCAATCAATCAGACAATCAATCAAATAGTTATTCAAATTCTAATTGACAAAAACATCTTCCTTTATTCCGCTACAGGCTACAGCTGTATATTGATCATCCATCAATCAGTCAATCAATCAATCAATCAATCAATCAGTCAATTAATCAGTCAATCCATCAACTAGGCATTCAAATTAATATTAATCCTCTCTGAAGGCTAAGCAGTAGGTTGATCATCCTATCATCAATCAGTCAATCAATCAATTAATCAGGTAATCAATCAACTACTTATTCAAATTCAAATTGAAAAAAAAAATCTTATATTATTCCGTTCTGAATGCTACAGCTGTAGATTGATCATCCTATTATCCTATCATCAATCAGTCAATCAATCAATCAGTCAGTCAATCAATCAATCGAGTCAGTCAAACTTTTATTTGTGCTGCGTTCAAGGGCATTCAAAGTTTGGTCAACTTTAAAACAGCGGACGTACTTTCTTGTTTTTATTGAAATTTATGATTTCTGACTCAAAATTTATGTTGTTTTGCATTTTGTGTGTAAGTGTGTGGGGCATGTATGTGGGTGTGGGTGTGGGTATGAACGTGTGTTTGTGCGTGTTTTAGGGAGCGGGCATGTGTTTGCTTAAAAGCATAAAATAAACCTCAAATGCTCGTAAAATGGCGTACGTACAAGCTCCACCAACCAACACCAGAATTCAGTCCCCTCGATGCCCGAGCTTCTACTTCTCGTTTTTTTCTGTAACGCTTCTTGAGCCCTTCCGGTAGTCTAGCCACACGAACACACACGCTCCCCACTATGTGTGTGGGTGTGTAGGATCGCTGCGTGGTTGTGCGGTTTTCATTTGCCCAGCCATGGCGCACAGACCAACGCGCGTGAATTATTTAATTCGAATAAATATTGAAAACTCAATTTTTTATGATGTTTTCTTGTTGGTTTATTGCGCTTTTGTGGCATTTTAATATCGAATAACTCTCCCTGGCGAATGTCCTCTGTTTTCTCTCTGTGTGTATGTGTGTTCCTTGCCTTCTATATCTGAGCTCTGTGGAGTGCGAGTTTGTTTGGATAGACAGCCGTGAAGCACAACACATAATAGTTGGGGCACACACACCCAGACGCATATCTTCCTTTTTATAGACTCTGCCCGAGCTACAAATAACCGAAATTCTGAGCTAATTATGCAGGGGAATGAAGCACACATAATAAATGGCACAAATCGTAAATAAATTTCAATTTTATTGCGCTCGATAAGGGCGAAGATATTTATCTAAGCTGGCTTAAGCACAGATTGAATTAAGCCAGGCTCAAGGCAATCATTAAGCAGCTAAATCCATATAATTTCACAACAATTAATTAAAAGGCTTTTTTATATATAATTTATTAACTTGAAACTGTTTTCAGCATGGAGGCAAGCAGGCCTTATACTTCATCACAGAGCTGGACTGAAAATAGATAAAAAAAATGTATATAAAAACAAACAGACAAACATATTCTCCCCTGTCTGTCTGTCTGTCTGTCTGTCTGTCTGTCTGTCTACTCTGTGCTTAGCCATAAGTTGACTGTACATACATTTACCATGCGATATAATCCCCAATAGGAGAAAATTGTGTAAAATTTGTGCTGGTTGCACTGATTAAGAATGGCTTACTGCTTGGCTGGTCGGACCGTCCGACCGGCTGCTGGGCAGTTAGTCCTGGCACCCTTTGGGGAAATCCTTTGAAAACCAAAAGATGTATGGACCAGCAGTCCGGCATCTAATATGTGCGAAATTTATCAACAACGATACTGTCTGCCATACAAAAGGCGCACAAGGATGAAGGCAACCGACATGGAAAATCGCAATAATAATTTTCCAGTTCAGCCTTCCGTATCCTTATGTGTGCGTGCGTGTATGGGTGCCTGAGTGCATGTCTGTGTGTGTGTGTGGGTGTTTGTGTGTGGCTGTGCTCTAACTCTTAAGTGGGTAATACCCATAGTCGTAAGAGCATGCCGTATGCATGGCTTGCTGGTCAGCAGGCATGTGACCAACTATGCGATGTGGACAATTGCAGCAGCGCCTTGCCTTGCCCCAGCCAGGACATCAGGGATTATATGAGATTTTTGAGGGGCGTGTTGGCAATGGGAACACAGGCGGCGAAGTCTGGAAACCAAATTGAAACAGATTCCTCGCTTTGCATATGCTCAACTATGTATAACTTATATATTTGCTTGTAGTTCAGTGTAGTTTACAGTTTACAGTTTACAGTAACAGTTAGAATAAATTGTAGAATGCATTTGCAACCACACATCTCTCAGATCCACTCTCGGCATTCAGCTCGTTGCTCATTATGTTGCACTGTATGGGTACGTAGGGATGCGTTAAATAGCGTTTCCGTATATATGTATATTTGCTTAGGTACTTTTGCGTTTCAGGTTATCAGGTTTCTCGTAAAGCCGTGTTTGTCGTGCTTGCCGTGTGCCTTAACAGTCGGCGGGATGAAGAAAGCCTTGGATATGATCTCCCAGTCGATGCCTAGAGAACAAGCACAGATTTAGTTATATATTAACCGAAGTGTTTGGATGTATTACAAATCGTATACTTACCCCAGATCATGTCCTTTATGGCTGTTCAGCTTCGCGTAGAGTACTAGTAAAATCAGCGCCTGACCAGTAATCAAAAGAACCTGTTTGCTGTAGCTGTTGCTCAACCAGGCCAGAGACTTTTCCTCTGCAAACAGCCTTTGGTTTTCAAGACTATTTTCCTTATACAGTGGCGCTAGTTCAAGGGCGCTCAACCTGACATCTTCTCGACTTTCACTCCTTTCGTTCTCCATTGATGTCCTATCGGTGACAACCTCGAGTAGACTGCGTTCTATGCCACGAAGATTTTCGGATTTCTGTAGATTGACTTCTCGCATATCACTTCGTTCTGCACCACGAGCGACATCGGCATCACGTTGTTCTCTTCGGGAGACATCTCGTTGCTCACGATTATCTCTCTCATTGGGTCGGCTGACCTCACGAATCACTTGTCTTTCCCTGCGTTCCTCTCGTTGCATATCGGCGCGTTCAGCACGTCGATTCTCACGTTGATGCTCTTGACGTTGCTCACGTCGAGAGTTAGCGATCTGCCGCACTTCCAGGCTATCCTTATTAAGCTCACGATCTTCCCGATTCTCTATTTGTTCCTCTCGATTTACGAGTCGCAAATCGTTTCGTTCTTCAAAGCGGAAATTGTTGCTCGTTTCCTTTTGCCCGTAATCATCCCGTTCTCCACGTCGGAATATTACGTTTTGTCGATTGACATGTCGATCATCTAAGCGCTTACGCTCGTCACGATCCTGCCTCCTTTCTTGATCTATTTGATTCATTTCATCTCGCTCCATATCCACACGACGCTGCCGTCTTCGGTCCGCGACCCACAGCTCAACTCGTTCTGTTTGCTCTTCACGTTTTTCTTCCCGCTCTTGTCTTCGAGATATATTTCGCTCTACACGTCGATCCTCTCCACGACGACTATTACGTTCCCTTTGCTGACGGTCAACTCTGTGTTCTCGACGATGACTAATGTCCTCCACTTCTCGCAGCTCATCGCGTTCCTCGTCGCGCTCCTTTCTTCGGGAAATGTCCCGATTCACTCGTCTGGAGTCTTCTCTAATATTGCGATTAAGCAGCCTTTCTTGTCTTCGTGTTAGGTCGATTTCCTCTCGTCGCAGAGCTTCTCCGTTAATTCGAGTATTTATTATTTCGTTGTCGACCCGCTCGCTTTCATCTCGGTTGATTCGTCGAGACACTTCCCGTTCCACCCGCAGAGAGTCGTCTCGTTCTCGTCGGAGTTCGCTTCTCTCCTCTCGTCGAAAATCGGCTTGTTTTTCGCGGCTTTCGCGAATGTCGATATAATTATGCTCTCGATTATCACGGCTCTGTCTGCGTGATACGACCCTTCGCATCTCCTCGGGGCTTTCTCGCCTTCCTTCCAGCAGCACACTTTCTTGATCTCGATGGGAATAGCCAGATTTCACACGACGATTTTCACGACGAGAGAACTCACCAAGATCTCGATCTTCTCGCTCCCGTCTTTGAGTAAGCTCAACCTCGACTCGTCGCATATTCTCCAGACTAACTCGCCTCTCACCGCGTTCTGCATCTACACGTTCCAGACTCTCCCCACGGCGGCGACTATCACGTTCCTCTTCTTCATCACGTCGCTCAATGTCTTCACGGCTATCATTTTCAATTTCTCGTTCATGTCGTCGAGATATATCACGATTTTCGTGACGTATGTTGCGCCATTCCTCTCCTAGGACGATATCACGTTCCTCAATTCGTAGATCGTCGTGTTCCTTTCGCTGTTCGCTTCGGAGTTCCGAACGTTCTTCCTTTCTGAGATTTTCGCGTCCCTCTCGTCGAACACCATCACGTTTCTCCCTTCGGAGATCGTCGCGTTCTTCCCTGCGATCATCTTCAAGGTCATTTCTTCGAAGATCAGAGCGTTCTTCACTTCGAAGATTTTCGCGTTCCTCTCGGTGAAGATCACCACGTTGCTCCCTCTTGAGATCGTTGCGTTCTTCCCTACGAATATCATCACGTTGCTCCCTTCGGAGATCAGAACGTTCCTCCCTTCGGAGATTTTCACGTTCCTCTCGGCGAATATCATCACGTTCCTCCCTTCGGAGATCGTCGCGTTCTTCTCTGCGATCATCATCACGGTCATTTCTTCGGAGATCAGAGCGATCTTCCCTTCGGAGATTTTCGCGTTCCTCTCGGCGAAGATCACCACGTTGCTCCCTCCTGAGATCGTCGCGTTCTTCCCTACGAATATCATCACGTTCCTCCCTTCGGTGATCAGAGCGTTCTTCGCTTCGGAGATTTTCACGTTCCTCCCTTCGGAGATCGTCGCGTTCTTCATTGCGAATATAATCACGTTCATCCCTTCGGAGATCAGAGTGTTCTTCCCTCCTGAGATCGTTGCGTTCTTCCCTACGAATATCATCACGTTGCTCCCTTCGGAGATCAGAACGTTCCTCCCTTCGGAGATTTTCGCGTTCCTCTCGGCGAATATTATCACGTTGCTCCCTCCTGAGATCGTCGCGTTCTTCCCTACGATCACCATCACGGTCATTTCTTCGGAGATCAGAGCGTTCTTCCCTTCGGAGATTTTCACGTTCCTCTCGGCGAATATCACCACGTTCCTCCCTTCGGAGATCGTCGCGTTCTTCATTGCGAATATAATCACGTTCATCCCTTCGGAGATCAGAGTGTTCTTCCCTCCTGAGATCGTTGCGTTCTTCCCTACGAATATCATCACGTTGCTCCCTTCGGAGATCAGAACGTTCCTCCCTTCGGAGATTTTCGCGTTCCTCTCGGCGAATATTATCACGTTGCTCCCTCCTGAGATCGTCGCGTTCTTCCCTACGATCACCATCACGGTCATTTCTTCGGAGATCAGAGCGATCTTCCCTTCGGAGATTTTCGCGTTCCTCTCGGCGAAGATCACCACGTTGCTCCCTCCTGAGATCGTCGCGTTCTTCCCTACGAATATCATCACGTTCCTCCCTTCGGTGATCAGAGCGTTCTTCGCTTCGGAGATTTTCACGTTCCTCCCTTCGGAGATCGTCGCGTTCTTCATTGCGAATATAATCACGTTCATCCCTTCGGAGATCAGAGTGTTCTTCCCTCCTGAGATCGTTGCGTTCTTCCCTACGAATATCATCACGTTGCTCCCTTCGGAGATCAGAACGTTCCTCCCTTCGGAGATTTTCGCGTTCCTCTCGGCGAATATTATCACGTTGCTCCCTCCTGAGATCGTCGCGTTCTTCCCTACGATCACCATCACGGTCATTTCTTCGGAGATCAGAGCGTTCTTCCCTTCGGAGATTTTCACGTTCCTCTCGGCGAATATCACCACGTTCCTCCCTTCGGAGATCGTCGCGTTCTTCATTGCGAATATAATCACGTTCATCCCTTCGGAGATCAGAGTGTTCTTCCCTCCTGAGATCGTCGCGCTCTACCCTACGAATATCATCACGTTCCTCGTTTCGGATATCAGAGCGTTCTTCCCATCGAAGATTTTCGCGTTCCTCTCGACGACTATCATAACGTTGCTCCCTTCTGAGATCATCGCGTTCCTCCCTTCGATTATCATTATATTCTCTTTCGAGCTCGTCATGTTCCTCTCGGCGCATATCTTTACGTTCCTCTTGTCGAATATCATCACGTTCTTCCCTTTGGAAATCATCCCGTTCCACCATTCGAATATTTTCCCGTCCTGCCTCTCGACGAATATAATCGCTATGATCTCTTCGGAGACTAACATGTTCCTTTCGTCGGAAGTCATCGCTTTGTTGTAGATTGTCACGCACTTGAACACGTTGCTGCCATCGACGATCGCCACGTTCTTCACGGCGGTCACCATCATTTTGTTGTATTTCTATGCGAGTGTCCCGCCTCTCATCACAAGTATGCAACGGTACGCGCTCCTCTTGGCCTAGGCGAAGTGACCAATCGATCCGCTGACCGTATTCGCCATGCAATTGCTTGTCATTCCGCTCATTGACTTGTCTATATATAAGATGCTCGTCGTATTCCTCTAGTTCACTTCCGTAATCTTTTATTGAGCGATGCAGCGGTTGCAATGTGCAATCTTCCTGACGGTTGCTGCACGTCTCGATATTGGCCTGGATAAGGCTCAATCCGCCCAGCTGGAGGAGCAGAACAAGAATGTTAAGCCTTAGCCATTGAGGATTCGCGGCCATTCTTTGGCTTTGTAAGTACTCCGTTTATTGACTGCAACTGTTAGCTCCGCGGTGCTTGAAATTGGATCGGATCTCGGTGTGTTAGCTGTTGCTTGAGCAATGCTCGGAACTTGAATGACTAAAACGGTTGCCGGTCCGGCTTTTTATACCAGATTTGTATTAAGGACGTACTAAGTCCGTATATACAACGCCCACGCAACGTTTGAGCCGTTGTATTCTCAATGAATCTCAATTTCCCATTGATTGATTCAATTTCGCTTATCGCACATGTGCACCAATGCGCTTTCGCCCAGGCGAAAAGAACTTCGCTCAACTGGCTCTAATGCGTAAAGATTGTTTTTTTTTTGTGCAATTGAAGCATTTTATGAATGAATTTCAACTAGAGCAGCTATACTGTGTGACGTCATAGATGCGAAAATATTGTGGTTCACTACGGTCCATTGATTCTCAAAAATAAATGCAAGAGCAAGAAAACTGGGCCTTATTTATGTGTAAGCAATTGGGGATATTTTTGAACCTACAGATGATTAACACTGATTGCGTGTTATGGCTGTGAATATGAATTTGCTTTAAGGATTATAATAATTATATTATTACATATTTAAAAAAATTCTATTGGAATAATTAAGGCAGAACTACATACACAAGTCCTCATTAAGCCTCAAGCTCTATGCTCCTTACCTACTCGAAACCATAAGTTCGAGTTGCTCCTACAGAGGTTGAGAAATCATTGATGTATTCTACATTAACATATATAGCACTATGTATATCCATGTATATGTTGTATATGCCTATTTGCCAGCCATTGAAACGGAAAGAACTCCTCGAGTGTGACGTCAAGGCTTTGTGTACTATGAACTAAGACAGACACAGTGCTTAGGCTGTCTGCACAAATGCGATAAGAGCGTTTCCAATCAAAATCGAATTAAAGTGCAATGAACAATATGTTGGCTCACTCGTCGGACAAGTGCTAAATAAATGAATTAGGTTAGATGCGCATCTGGGCGTAAAATTGCGTTTAAGCAGAAGCAACTGGGACCCTGGTCGAGATGGGCTCCTATAAAAGCAAATGCTTGTCGCCCACACGCTCGGCAGTTGCCTCTCAGCCGTAGCCGATGGCACGCCGGTCGTACCGGCTGGTACGTCCACCAGAAACACCCTGGTGCCGTAACAGAAATGGAGCAGTTCAGACGAAGAAATAAAGAGAGCGAAGAAAATCGTAAGACTTGCGCCCAGCTTTGAAGCCACAGTTAATATATCTTTATCTACTTAGGACTACCCTACTAGCAAGACAAATGTGAATCCCCGTTAAGGAAAAATGGAAAGGAAAACAGGAAGAAAACTTGGTTCATTTTGCAAAATGAAGGAAGGAAGCGAACTCACAACTATAGTTGTAACCATTTGTTAAGCAACCCTAATTGGATGTACGTTAACAAATAATCACATATATACTATATACTACATATATACATATAACCTAATGGTATTATACCTATGTTAAATGTTGCTGTTGTTTGGGATTGTTTAGCACTTTATATTACCCGCAATCTATACTCTATATATATATATATATATATATATATTTACTTAACCAACTTATTTCGCAATCGTTATACATACGTATGCCATACCTATAAAGACAACATACAAGAAGCACATATGATAATATACTGACATATTATAATCGTGTCCATGTTAGGCACACATATCTAATACCCTATCAATCTATAAAGCCTATACTCGTAAATTGCAAAATAAATTTATTAACCCACGTGTTGAGCAAGCGAAAGTCATTAAATTTGTTTTTAATTCGGTGGGATTTTTGAAGAAATGGAACAATTTTCTTTGCAAAGGTTTCATTTACCCCGAGCCCATTGACAATGGGCGTTTTGAATATATGAAGCTCTGCGCAGGAGTCGGAATATCTTCCAGTCGAGCACCCCCAAGTAAAATATTAATTATAAATTAATTTGTTACAGTAAAACTTATATGAAATCCATGACGAAATAGCGGAAATTTCAAAAACTAATTGAAGACGTGAGTGAACCTCAGTTCAAGGAGTTTTCTTTCAAACCATAAGCCAGCAGCTATACTATTTTATATATGCATAGTCCTATGCGGCAACTAAAGGCTATATATATACTGATAACCTTGAACTAGCATGTGTAGGCAGTACATACATATAATAACATCAAAGCGGACCAGAGCGGAGCAACTATTTCATGAAGCTGCAAGCTACCTCCACCCATCTGCAAGCTGAGCTTCAATCAATCAAAGTTCTACAGTTGTTAAATAGGAAAATCGTTAGATTTTTTATAATTTTTAATTTTAAATATTATATTTTGTTACTCTTTACAATTATTGCAATTTCATTGTTTGTTACACTTCCAATGCATTTTGCTGCGTTGCTTTTGAATTGTCTTTCAATTTACCATTTGCCATTTGCTGTTAGTTAATTTAAATATTTTAAATATTTCATATTCGTTTGTTCTCTTTGGTTAAAAATGAGCAAATTAACAAAGTCGCAAAATACTTGCTAATTTAATTTTAGTTCCATATATAAATAGTTAAATGTTCATTCAAATATTGTTGCTGTTGCCGTTGCTGTTTTTGTGGATTGTTATTCAAATCGAAATAGTTTAAAATGTTGCACAATTATAATTTGTTATCTTGTCGTGAGTGTTTCTTTCTTTTTGTTTTCTTTCTTTGCAGATTTTATTGAAATGTGCGGCTTATTAATTGCATTTAGTTAGCTTTCGTTTCCTCTGTTTATCGCTTTCTTTATAATTGTTTTGCATTTTGTACACTTCTGTTACTTAATTCAATTCAACAATATATGTGTCGATTTGGTTTAACAATAAACTTAATAGATTTGTGTTTTCGTTAATAACCTTGTTACCAATAAACAAATTTCATGCTTGTTTTTAAAAACGTATTTAAAATTTCGCTTGTACAAAGTGCGTTTCAATAAGAGAGAGACAGAGATAGAAAGAGACAGTGTGATACGTAGATTAGAAGATACAAGGAGCGAGATAGAGACAGAGACAGAGAGGGAAATAGCGAGTAAGTCTAGGTGTATGTGTGCGTATGTGTCTTTCATTATTTCTCAACAAATTTGTATAATTCTTCTATATAGTATCATTAATTATAAATTTTCTTATGTTTTCCATTTGCTGTTTATGCCATTTAGCGGCTGAGCTTTAACAAACAGTCGTCGATTTTGCATATTGGGATCTGTTTCTCATAGATTATATAAACAAATTTAACATTGGGTCTCGCACTCCGGTTTAATTCGATTCGATTCGATTAGATATCATTTCCCATATTATGTATAAATTGCAATTAACATTTCGTTATTTGTTTTTTGTTTAAATATCATTTTCGTAGTGAGTTTATAATCATTTTGCCTATTAAGTTTTTCGTTTTAGTTTTTTTTTTATATGTATAATTTTGTTGCTAAACAAATCAATTGTCATTTTTTAATTATATATGCCCCTGGTTTATATTTAACTATAAATTTTTTGATGTAAAATTTGTCTTTTTCGTTCTATAAATTTGGTTGTTAATCTCTAAAAAATACATAGTATATATGTATGCGTGTATATATATTTGGTAACAACTGAACAAATTTTTGCATTTCATAATCAGAATCATAGTCGAAATAGTTTATATACTTATCATTCAAACAGCATTTTGGTAATGTGTTAGCTTTGGCTTCATTTTACTTACAAATACACTCTTTGTATCTAAACGCATATTTGATAAACATAATCATAATCTTGATATACTAGAGCATCTATGACTCTATAATGGTTGCACAACATATTCATATTCATATTCATATTCTTATGCAACTAGTTGGCCGCCTCTTAAGATGAGCTGCAAAATGCCTTCAGACCGAAACTTAGCTTTCGAAATTAAGTTTATAAAATGGATATTACAAATAAGTATGTTTCAGTTGCTAAAGTTTTAGAATGCTAAACACGACTTGATCAGTTTTCTAAACTATACAATTTAATATTTAAAATGTTCTTGGCCACTTTAGTAGCCTCACTAGCAACGCTTTACATAATTTAAGTTTTTGTTGGGAGTGTGTTTTCTTTCTTGTTCTTGTTTTTGGTTTCCTTGTTTTGTTTTGTTTTTTTTTTTTTTTTGAATCTATGCCTTAAATAATTGGGGAAATTCGTTGGCTATCTCGCGCACCAGCTGCTGATCGTATGCGCTGCATTCGGTCTCCTCGCAAAAGATGCGCGTAAATATCTTCATTAGATCATGCTTACGATGCTGATGGTCCTGGTAGTTTGTGTTGCGCAAGATGCGACGGCACAGCTTCAAATAGCATGGGCGTGTCTAAATAAAGTATAAGCAGATATATTTTTCATATACTTTCTCCCCGGAATAGTATACACAGACATATGCATTGACTTACCGCACTGCCCGCATCCAAATCGGACAGCTGACGCACCACAATGTCGATTAGCACTTTGATATCGTTCGTATAGAACATGCTGGCCGAATACGTATGGCTGAATATGTCAATGAACATGCGCAGCACCGTATTCATATGTTCATTGTGATGCTTCAGCAGGCGCGTCGGATCATCTATTTAAAGTATTCGATTATATATATAGTGCGTGTATATAAGGTGAGTACTTACCCTCTCGATTAAGCAGCAGCAATAGCTTCTCGGTGAACACTTTGACTGTGGGAAGATTCTGCATGGCCTCTATGATCACATTCACCGTATGCTCGCTAAATTGTTGATTGAAGGCCAATATCAGGGCGATAACCATATCCACGAGCAGTTCGGGATTGTTTCCTTCCACAATTTCCAGCAGAAAACTGGCGAAGTGCACGCCCAAATAATCTAAAAGTCAATTCAACTTTGATAGTCATAATTGAATTGAAATATTTATCAATTTACTCACTCTGATGATTGACGGGCATGGGCTCGCCCAGCGAGAAGATAATGGTTAGCATTTTGACCAGCTGTTTGAAGCGATCCAAATTGGAAAAGTGCGTCTTCATATCTTCCACCTGGTTGCAAGATGCAGCACAAACTCTATAATTATCTTATTGACAACTGCTGCAGATGTTCACTTACGATCTCCAGGGGCAGCAATGAGGTTAGCAGTATATCAACAATGATGTGATCCAAGTGACAGGCAGCAGTGAAAGTCTTAAGCAACAGTTTTTTGATGGACCAACGTGTCTCCATCTGATAGTATTGTACCAGATTGATGAACATCTGATATTGATCACACGACATCTCATAACAGCTGATGTTCTCATCAGCGTTATTCTGCAATGATACAGAGACCAGTAAAAAATATGATCTGTACACCTTAAGTGCTGCTAAGTAGTCAGCTGGGGTATACCCTGAGTGGCGTGTGGGTCTTTGAAGATTTACGACTACTAAAAACATATAACACAGAAATTCTTAAGTTATTTTAAGGTAAAGGCAAAGCAAAGACTTCAAATCGATATGTATCGATATTGCTGTCTTTAAACTATCTCGAAAACTGACGCTTTCGAATCTTCGGTTCGTCAGAGACCTTTGGAAGAGTATAGTCTAAAAGGCTGTCTGTCTTTGTCATCCATCACTTCAATTTGAATGAACTGCGTTCTATTTGGTCTCGTTGCCTTACCAGTATCTCCACGAGCTCCTCGAGAAACTGTATAATATCCTCCTCGTCCTCGTAGAGCATCCAAGTGCGTTGCTCCGTATCGTTCTTGCAGTCGGCCAACTGGGCGAACAGATATTGTAGTCGCTTGGAGTCGTGCGTGATGCCCAGCAACTCTTTGGGCGTGGCCACCTTGCCGGTGACGTGCACAGCAACTGCCTCCAGATACGGATTGATGGCGCCATTGTATAGCTGCTCCAAGCTAGTTAGCACGACGCGCAATGCCTCGCAAGACAAATCAAAGCTGAGATTTGTATTGCGACGCAATGCATCCACAATCTGATACACATCGGATGACTCAACTTTCAGCTGGCCACGCCCATTGTCCAGGGTGCCATTGGCGCCGGCAGTAAGGCTGGCACCCAAACGATGCGAGAGCGAGGGACTCTCAATGCTGTCCAGCGCTTGGCTATTGTCACCACAACCATTGCAGCCGTCATCGCTCGCCTCTGACTTGTCGGGCGCGCTGTCCGCGCCCTGGCTGAGCTGCTCGTCGTGAATAGCTGTGGAGCTGTTGCCATTGTGCGGCTTGTGCTTATTAATTGCTTCCTCTCCTGACGCTGTTGCGGCTGCTGCTGCAGCTGTTGTTGCAGTGGCTGCTGCGGCATTGGCGGCAGCGGTGGCGGCAGCGGTGGCTGCAGCTGCCGTTGATGTGGCACCGTTGCTAGTGCTCAGTTGGCTGGTCTCCTTGTATGTAGTGACCACATCCTCGCTGGTAGTCGTGGTTGTTGTCGTCTCCGACGGCTCTGAGGTGATGCTATTGTCCTGCGCCACATCCGAGACGGAGCTACAGACCTTTTGGGCTTGTGTGGCGGCTGCTGCTGCAGCAACCGCAGCTGCAGACGTGCTGGCCACCAGTGGAGGCGCTGGCAGAGGCTGCTGCTGTTGCTGCTGTGGCGTCTGTATGGTGCAGCTGCTGCTCTGCAACTGCATGCTGCCCATGCTAGGCGACTCCGGCATCGATTGCTGCACAGTAACACCCACAGCCGGACTGGACATACTCTTCTTGCTCATGTCCAGGCGTTGTGTAGCAGGCGGACTATTCTGTTGCGATTTCTGTTGATGCGGATGCGTGTGCGAGTGCCGGTGGGAATGGCTGTGGCTATGGCTGTGGCTGCCGCTCAGCTGCTGCTTGTCGCTGTAGCTGTGCGAATAGGACAACGATGAGTCACCATCACGCTCCGAGCTCTCCTGCAAGGTAACCAAACAAGTGAACAAATACGTATCGATTATCTATGTTTGTAGATGTAACTGTATCTATGTTCGTATCTATTGATAGCTATTTGTCAATATCTATAGCAATAGCTGTATCAATATTAATGATATATCTATATCTACATCTAATCGATGCTAACCGCATAAAGCCGCTCCATGGTGTGCTTCTTCTCGCGCAGTCTGTCGAGCAGCTCATCCTTGGACATGATGCCATTAATCTCTGGCTCAGAGCACTTTTCCAGCGACTCAATCGATGAGTTGAGAAAGCTGATGAGAAAATCATGTTCCACCTGCCGAATGAACAAGAAAAAGCTAATTAGCTGTCACTCCACTTAGGTAAGCAGGCACTTTACCTTAATCTTCATTACGTAATTAGATGGCACAAAGCCAATGTTGCCCTTCATGCTAACCACCTGCCACCAGTTCCGCTGTCGTGCGGACGTCTGGTAGAGTATAAAATATTCGCCCTCATCAAAGCTAATCGTTTTCGGATAAACCGCTTGAAAATCGTACAGAGCCTTCAGCATCTCGATGCCGTTGCCAATGTCGATGCCGCCGCCGCCGAGGCCGCTGCTGTCAGGTGCTGTTGGTCCTGTCTCTGCTGCAGCTGTTGTTGCTGTTGTTACGGCTGCTGCTGTTGCGGGCGATGTTGGTGGTGCTGCTGCTGCAACAAAACATGCGACAAAAGTGTTCTATTGTTTAATATCATTGCGTTCAAAAAAATGTCAAAGGGGCGTGACAAGTACACATACACTCACACTCACTCGCTCACACGTACACACAACACAAACCAACCGCAGAACGCAGCGAAACGTATTTCGAGTTGCAGTCACGGAGGTTTTTGCTTTTCCTTGCGGCCCTTCCTGGCAGCCAGGCACTAAAAAGTTCACTGCCGAGGGCCCAAACAGCTAACGGTTGCTTTGGCTTGGCCTACACACACATGCATTCACACAAACACACACACAATACACAGAGCGCAAGGCACGAGCGCATGAAACGAATAAGCGACAGTAGCAAAATAGGAAACAAGCATCAAGAAAAGCGACACAAAACAGCGTAAAGCCAAAGAAATTACAAAAGCGCACAGGAAAAATGCAATTTTCATATTGTTTGTGTGTGTGTGTGTGTGTATGTACATTTACCGTGTCCTTTTAAGCCTGCTTAGCTTACAATGTGTTCACAAACACACATACACAAAGGCTTTAGGTGTGTGTAGTAATAAAAACAAAAAATAACAGGACATACCTCTGGCCCGTTCTCGCACTCTCGACGGCTTGCTCTCACGCGCGCGCCTTCACACTCTCTTTCTCTTGTATTCGCGCTCTCGCACTGTCGCAGTAGCGCTCTCGGCGTTTTGTATCTAACCCATTCAACTGTCAATTGCGTCTGTGACCATTGTCACCTGCAAGCACTACACACGCACACAAACACAAGCACAAACAAACAGAGGACATACATGGACATACACATGCAAATTTGTCAAATGTTGAAAACAGCCCACTTACCCATATTTTTTAGCACACCTTGTTTTTTTTCACGCTGTATGCGCTGTGCGCGTCTTTGCCGTCTCTTCCTATTGTTCTTTTTATGCCTGTTCCAGTTTTGACGTTTGCCGTTACCAAGGACGTTACGACTTATTGTTACACTTTGCGACACTTGGCAACACTGCTGCTATTGTTGTTGCTTTTCCTACAGAGGAGTCTTTTTCGTATGCAACACTTTATGGCTATCGCCCTGGGCGTGTTCCGCTTTTCAGTAATGCGTGTGTAAACATACAGTTACAGTTAAAAGTTGGACTGCGTTTATTTATCACTTGTTGTTGTCAGATTCTATCAAAGAGGCGGAAAAGTAGGACTGGCCCGTGTAGCAGCCATGTATCACGTCCACCTCAACAATTCGCCTGTTGCCTTACGAACGAGCACTGTATTTGTTGCAACAAATTTTTTTTTCGATTTTATGTTAGTTTATCCCGATTTTAATTTAGTGGCATGCAGATGCATGTCATATTTCCACATCTGTTCAACTTATTGACTAGGCTCTCCAACACGCACACATACATGAACGTGAGGCGTCGAAACGGCTGCTGAGTAAAGGAATTCAATAGAGCTTTGCAATACATGCACATGTATGTCTGTATGTATACACATGTACTCCACCCTAAAGCACGCACACACCCTCCCGCAACGACTTACAATGTAACGGTATTTTTTCGTGTTTGTTTTGCTCGGAATACGGAATGTGATTCAAAACGAGATTAAATTGTTGCAAAGACGCAGATCCTTTGCACAAGAGCAATACAGACTTAACTCTTCATAAATTCCATGACGTAGTTCACAATAAAACCGCTTTGCGTTGTTTCCAGCAGATTTCCTTATTTAATTAAAATGCGAATAAACATGTGGAAATGCAAAGCAACAATACGCAACACACTGACAACGATAAATGCTTTGACACATAGATCTGATCAACGTAACATTTAAACGCACGTTGTCAGCCAAAAATAAATAAAATATGTATATGGGCAGTTCAATGTTAATGTATCTCGATGTAAACAAAACGAATAAAACAACGTAGCATGCTCAACGTAAAGCTAGCATGCTCCTGATAACATTAACAGGGCAAGCTTAAGCGCAAAACGGAGCAATGCAAACGCAAAATGCGTTACATTGCGTTAAAAGCTAAATTGAAATTTGTATGCTGATGCGTAAGCAAAAATAAAAAAGCAGTAAATTTTGTTGCAAACATGTTTTTTTTTATTTGCTTTTAGTGATTGGTATACATATGTAGATAATAATATGCACTTGATATTATCAAAATACTGCGTTTGCGTTCATGGGCAGGGTAGGCAATAAATTTTGAAAAAAAAAATTCAACATAATATATATATATATATATATATATATATATATATATATATATATATATATATATATATATATATATATATATATATATATATATATATATAACGTAAATGCTGTGCTCACCATGCCATGTGCAAGACAATTTTCAAGTGCTGTACATTTCATTTAAATTGGCTAAAAATATTATATTGTTATATATATATAATATATATATATTTTTTTGTATAAGTACAATGTGAATTAATTAAAGAATTTTTTATCAAGTCAATTTATTATATATATGTATATGTAAAGGTGTTTAGCGTCCTGCTCCTTGAATTTTCTATTAACGCTAGTCTAGATAAAAGTTCAATATTTCCCTAACCTCTTTTGCACCATAACCCAACTTGTCCACTAATTAACGCTGTCTTTTAACTAATCATAAGTCCTAAGTACATTTTTGTGAATATGAAATCGATTTTTCATTCAGAAGGCATTTTTCATAACGTTCGATGGAAAAAGAACATATATATAAATATATTTTATATATCCTTATATATATGTATCTATGCATCGTACAAAATGGTTATGCAAAACAGTTATAAATATATGTTAATAAATTTGATTTCCTTTCATAAGTTCTATTTATGTATGTCTATATGTGTGTATGTGTTTGATTTGTTTAAAGAACAACTTTTGTTATTTAGTGTTTTTTTTTAATATTATTTTGTTTTTTTTTTTTTTTGTTCTGTAACAAATTAAATTTTAACAATAGTTTTTAATTTGTTTGTTTTATTTGCTTGGCTGCATTAATAATATTTCTCATATTTATAATAGTAAAAATAATAATAATAAAAATAATATTAATAATGTGTTCGTGGTACAATTACGCATAATAAATTATAATAGCACATGTTTCTCTCTCTGTTTCACTTTCTATTCCACTTTTGTTTTTATCATATAGATATAAAAGTTTTATAACATTAGGCCACAGTTAAAAAGAAACCAAACAATATATATTTATATATATATATATATATATGAATATATATATATATATATATATATATATATATATATGTAAAATATAAACAACTTGGTTGACTTTGAACTATTCCGTTTAGGCATGTATTATTACTTTTATTTATTCATTACCTTTTTGTTTATCGCGTTATTTGGAACGGCACTTGGTTGAGATTTCGCCCGGGCCTGCTGGGGCATTTTCTACCACAATCGTTGTAATACAAAAAAAACAAACAAACAAACAAACAAACATACATACATACACATATACATACATATAAATATATATCTATATATATATGTATGCATTTATATGTATATGCATGCAGATATATAGAGAAATAAAGTAGCCAAAAGCTATAAATTATTATATTATACTTTTTTTATATATAGCGCAACACGCCCACTCGCCAGGCCAGCTTCTTAAACACGCTGCCCAACCAATATCTGTCTGTTGTTGTTGAACAGCGTACTCGCCTTTTCTACGTAAGCAATAAGCCGTCGTTCTCTAGCTCTCACTCTGTTGTTCTCTCTCTCTCTTTCTTTGAATTTGTGGTCTGTTTAAACTGCTAAGAATCACGCTACAAAAATATTAATATTGATAAATGTTGCTCCACAACGAAAGGCCAACGCAGCCGGGGCCAATGTGAGCAAGTGCGACGCACGGGGCGCTCTCTTACTCTCTTCCTCTCACCGGCGCGCATTCTGTTGTCCACAGCTGGCTTCTGTCTGGTCTAGCCGATCCGCTCTAGCTTCCGCCTGCGATTCGGCTAAAACTTTGCCGCGCAACATACATATATCCATACATATCTATTTATATGTATATATGTGTATTCATGCATATATATATATATATATATATATATATATATATATATATATATTTATATATATATATATATATATATATTTATATATATATATATATATATATGTGTCTGTGTGTGTGTGCATACATACATATATATGTATATGTAAAGTAGGTTGATTTGCATTCATTTTTGGGTTGTTTTTGCTGTTGGTTGTGTGTGTTAGTGTCTGTTTGTGTGTGTTTTCGTGTACGTGTGTGTTTGGGCGAGTTAAATCAACGCGATCATTTGTCCTCGCAACAGCCTGTCTTGGCCAACTGCTTTTGAAGTGCGGGCGGAATGAAATCTTTCGTCTTGGAATGATTGCCCTGGCCAAGCAGTGCCGGCTCCACGTGCTTGCCCTCCTGTATGCGCTGTATGCTCTTGAGCAGATCATAGTTAATACGATCGCTAACTACCGAATCCTTCCTGCAATGGCCAACAAACAAAATTATTATTGGTCTGCACTCGACACATACTTATAACCCCCACACTCACTTGTAGTCCGGATGGTTGAGCACCTGCTCACGTATCCAGGTAGCCGTTGTGATCAGATCGCCGGCGGCGCGCTTCTGTATGAAGCGCAGATACTGTTCAATTGTGCAGTGCGTGTCTGTGTCCACCTCCATGGACTGCAGATAGCTGCGTATCAGCGGCACCAGGCCAGGAAATACGCCGGGCTGCAAATAATTGGATAGTGGTTATTCAGTACATGGAACATGGCACTCGGTCTTCTATATAAATAGCAGCTCTATCTTCTGTTTATGATGGCACTCACCTTGCCATTAAAGATCTCGTTGATGGTGAGCAGCTGGAACAGCTCGGTCTCCTCATCATCGGTATCGGTTTGATCGCTGTCGGTGCCCCCATTGTGAATGTGGCTTCCATTGGCGTTGCTGCTGCTGTTGTTGTTGTTGGCATTGCCATTTAGCCCGTTTCCATGACCATTTAGCTTGCCAGTGCCATTGAATAGGGGTATCGGATCAGTTGCAGTACTGCTGCCATTTGTGTTTGTCGAGGTGCCGTTGATTTGGACACAGGCGGCGCGCTGCTCCGTTGACTTGGACGATTTGCGGAACCAGAATTTCTCCTTGCGGCACGCATCCCGCTTCTGGGCCGTTTGCATATTCTCGTCGACCTTGCTGATAGGCGTTAAGAAATTCAGCTGATACGATAATATGACACGGGTCAGCAGCACCACGAAGCAGACAATCGCCGCATTCTCGAAGTCGGAAATTTGAGCCTCGCAAGGACGAAACTCGACACGCCAGCCAATGGAGCTGTTGGGTGGCGGCGGCTTGAAGCGCATCGTTTGCCAATTGGTTGACTGGATATTCTCGAAATGATCCGTATCCTCTTCATCGTTCTGATGGACCTTCTCGCTAAATAGCGAGACTGTATCACGAATAAACAAATGGGCCACATGCTGCGCCAACAGATGATCGATGCCGCCCTCGATGAGACGCTTGTAGACATCCTCATCGTAGGTGAGCTTCACATCGTTGTATTTGGCCCCCTCAGGGGACAGATACGAATCGATGGAATCGTAACGCGATTTGGCAATACGAAATTTGTTTTCGTTAAGCGGCACCAGGCCACGCTCCTCCTCTGTGCGGCAATCCACCGAGGAGCTAATCACATTCCAACGGCAGTCCGATTCGGTTAGATAACCGCGGTAAACCGGCGAGGCGGCTGTTAGGGCCAGCATAATGGGACAAAGTGGTGCCAGTTGATCATATAGGCGACGCGCCTCGGTTATGTTGCATGCCTGGAACGTTAGCTGGAGGCAGCAACAGCCCATGCCAAAGCCCATGGCGTCCAGGAGCACAACATCCGGTTCGCCAGGCGGTGCACCCTCCACGGGCAGCTTCGTATTTACATCCTTGAAGACTGCAAAGCAAATTCATTGATTAGCAAATGGACGATAGACTGAACTGGAATGTTATGGAGCTCACCCTTCAGCTTGATGGATACCTTTTCGCCACGACGCATGCGTATGTTGCGCGTTAGCGTCTTGAATCGTGGATGGCCCGGAAATATGGCCTCATCGGGAAAGTAGAGCGAACGAGCCGAGCTGATTGGATCCTCGGGTCGCGGCTGATGCACCGGATACGTAAAATTTGGCGCACCGAGACGCGGAAAGTTTGTTATGGACATCACACATTCATCGCTGGCCAGCAGCTCGGTGACCTCCTCGCGACGATACCGCATATTGGCCTCTACCAAATTGAAATGTGCCATCAGGCCACCAAAGGGCTTGCCCGGCGTGCCTTCGATCATGTAAGCGCCGTATTCGGGACGCCACAACGACTTCACGCCGTTGGGATCGGCCAGCTCCTTTTCATTGAGTTTCGCCAGCAGATCCTTGGCCTTCAGCGAAACGCGCGCCACCTTCTGCTCGTCGTCGAACTTGACAATTATATATTCAACTTCGTCGCCCCATTTCAGTATGTCGCCCTGGCGATCCTTCAGTCTGTGATATAGATGAATGAACTGATTGATTCCATGCTCACGAACATGATCTACTAGCTTTTTGGTCTCCTCCCAGGAGAGTGGATTGCCCTCGCTCAATAGGCCCATTGCTGCAAGTGCATAGAGAGAAAGAGTGTCGAACAGAGGATGATGAGAGTTAATAAAAATAAGTACAGATCGCAAGAGCAGATACATACACAGATAAAGAGAGAGAGAGGGAGACAGAGAGCGAGTGAGGAAGAGAGAGAGAGAGAGAGAGCAAGGGATAGTTTGTCACATTTAGATATGTTTGAAATTTTGAATTTCTGTCAATTTTGTGCCAAGTGTCAATTGAAAACTCTTAACTGTATCTGTTCCTTGATCTATCTATCTCACCCTCTCTCTATTGAATATTTGCCTGGTCAAGAAACTCATTGATAAAGTGCCAAAGTAATCTTTTGAAAGGAAAAACAATTCAACTTTCAAGATTCAAATCACATACGTTCAAATAAATCTATTTTAAGAGCTGCACAAATCGAAAGTCTTAAGTGCCAGATAGGCCAGTAACAGGAACAGCTGCATCGTATCTATATGGCAATGCGAAGTGCATAGAGAGGCGATAGCTCAAGTCAACTAGCTGCAGATCTAAGAATTATGTGTTTCATATTATTTATCGTATGGACACACATCTATCAGAAATTTGGTGAGAGTATTTGGTTGACGACTTTGGCAAAGGCAAAAGTTCTTTTTCCGTTTCGTAGTCTAAACAAATAAAGCTATGCATCCTAAGATTGATATTTATAAGGAATAATAAAAATAAATCGTCTGACCGCGATTAGATGTGTTTGGTAAATTATTTTATATAGTTGCTAGGGTTGATTTCAATTTATTAATTGATGAGCTTCAAATAAATAAATGCTAAATCGATAGTAATACCCTCAACGGTCTCAACGGTATTTATATAAAAGGAAATAATATTAATCGTGTTGTTGATAACACAAATTATAACGGTCATTAGTTGTTTTGTTCTAAATACATGTATATGGCTATAAAATAAATCGTAAATCAAACCGTTTAATCATTTATATAAATAATTGAAAACTTATTGATATAGGGATTCTATTCGAGTGAGTCGTTTATATATGCTAGTTATGATCCATAGCAACACCTGCAACAGTTAAGCATTCTGATGAACTAATGGAACACGTCCAAAATAATGGGAACATTACAGAATATTAATCAGGATTACGATCAATTTCTGGCACTGTCTAGATAAATATATAACCATTGCCTTTCCAATTACTTTCAATCAATCAAGAATGTGATATAATTAATACAATTTATTTGTTGTAACTGTTTACGTCCAGCGCTACTTTTACTATAATAGGCCGATTTGCAATTGAAATGGAACTCTCTAATATCGTCAAAAATTATTTTAGTAACGGCATTTTTTTTTCGTAATTCTCTTCTGTGCTTCTTCCTCTAAATAAATGGGAAACTTGTTTTTATATTTTATCGGAAAACCTATCTTCATTTAGTTAATGCTGTATGAACACAAATGTATATGTATAATACATATATAAATATATAATACATTTATATAGCTATAGTTATAGTATATATAGTATTGCCATTTGGAATATTTCTTATATATTATGCTGCGACTTCGACTAAACTGTGTTTCTATACTATATAAGCATATACATTATATATATATAAATACATATATAGTGTATATATCTATATATATTAGATATATATATAAATCTCCATTTGCAGTTAAAGCTCAAACTCAATAACCGAATCGTAATATTCCTCACATTAGTTTGTAGCAGTGTTTATTATAGTTAGTAGCAAATACCAAATCACTCAGCTGTAACGGTAATTATATATTTCAATGGAGCTAGCTACCAAAAGAAAATTAAATAAAAAATATTCCCTTAATTAAGTAAATTTAATAACCGACAAAAAGTGGCTGTAGAAACTATAAATTAATTATAAATATACGAGTTTTATAAGCAGAATAACGACATTGGCAAAGTTTCGATACATCTCTCAATTCTCAGTTCTCAGTGTTGACATAATGATAAGATATTGATCATATGTAAAGTAAACTATTCTTCATAAGCTCACTTCTCATGGAAAACAATCGACAGTTATATCAGAGTCGACTTTGTAACCTGTAAATATATGCTAAGTTGATTGTGTAAGAGCTGAGACAGCGCTTGTTGCTCTTGAAATTCTCAATCGATTGCCATGAAATTGTAATGATAGACCTGGGTTCGACTTGGGACACTATTCTATGCAATGAGGCTTTGAGCACTTATGAAGCTGCCTTAGATGAGACAATTTGATTTGATTAGTGATGCTTATCATTGATGGAGCTAGGAAACTATATTTTCTGTGAATCAAATGTCGTATTAGAATTTTATGTCATCATACTCAGCACTCAAGATCCAAAAGATTGTCAAAAAAAATTTCTTTTTCAAATTCACTTTCACTTAAAATCGGAAACTTTGAAAATATTCGAAAAAAAAATACAAACAAACGATTTAACACTTTTGATATGCCGGCTAATTGCACGTTTAAAAATAATACTGATGCACTCTATTTCGAAAAGCTCTGCTTTGAGGCGAGAGCCAACTAGAACTTGATCGCTTCACGACTAAACCACTACTAAATATACCCCCGAGCAGACTCCGATTACTTATGCAGTGGATGTGGACGACGCTCGGACAATCAGAATAGCGAGCGCTTCGTATCGCATTGCAAGCGGCCGATCCAACGATCATTCATCGATCCATCTATCCATCGATTGTCGTACCGCCGTTGCTGATGACGAGGCTGACAACAACAGCGACGACGACGAAAAATACACCGTTGGCAGATCTTCCACTCACAGTGGGGCATTCCAGCGAAAAATGTTTCAAGACTTATGTGTTATGGAAATGGAATACAACTGCAAACGATCATATTTCGTGTTTTAACTATCAATATAAGCTATGGCTAAGTCTTGAAAGCCTAAGCCTATATCTATCACATTTAAACATATCTATATCTACGTATCTTGATATATATATATATACAACGAAGCTCTTATTTATTTCTCATATTAATAATCTGTAAAGGTTTTCTATATTTTTTTTAAGCTTCTCAAAATAGTTTGCTTTCAAAGATCGCCCAAGCAATATTTATTTGGCAGCAGCAACCATCAGCTGGTGCCACTGTGCGTGCGCTGGGGCGGATGTCGCAGTTGCTGAGGACGGTGGTCGGTGGTCGATGGACGATGGAGTGTGGAATGTCTGGTGGCACTTCAAACTCTCGATTATAATTATTTGGACTATTTAATTTATTATACATATTTAATACCAATCGTAAAAGTATAAGAAATATTTTTTTTATTATTATTAATTCTTGTTGTGTGGATTTATATTTTGTTTATTATAGATTGCAACTGCCCCATTTGATTTATTAGACTATAAAGATTATAATTAGACGGGGTCGTAATTTGATAGACCAAAACTTCTACCCGGCAGCTACATACTTAAGCTAAATAAATATCACCAGACGGCTGATCAAATTACATATTCAATTCATTTAGATGGAATATTTGATTTGATGCTTCAGTTTCGAATCCAGTTAACTGCAACAGCTTACAGCCAAAATGCACACATTCGTGGTAAATGTGGTACCAGCTGGATAAGCTTCAGGTAATTTATATAGTACAAAGCTGAATAGTAATGGTAAAATTTGGATCATGTGAATCAACTTAAAATCTTAAAAGCATCACACCAACATGTTCATGGTAAATATTTAACAGCTACTTTAATTCTAACATCTAAAACGTACATCTTCATGGCAAATATGTTATACTTTGATGATCTGCATATAAAATGTACATCTTCATGGTAAATATTTACCAATTATATTCCATTTACATATTCGTGTTGAAAATTTGCCATGTAGATCAAGTTCAGAGCGAAACAATGGTAAATATTTACCAGTTAGATTGTCTGTTAACGTATTCTTCATGGTAAATATCTCAAAATGAACATGCACCTGTTTTGGGTCAAAATATACCAGTTAGATCAACTTAAGAGCTTAGCCAACTCATAGTGTCTCGAAATGAACTAAAGATTTTAAGAGCACAGATACCATGAAGATAGCCAGAAGGAAAGTAACTTTAACTAATGTAGCGAATACTTCTGGACGCATCGTAAATCAGCTCAAGCTGATTTATTTAAAGCAGATACTAAATTGAACTATGCATGTACTTGGATGCCGATGACTGAACGGAATATTATATAAGTGAAGAAGAGAGGGAGGAGGAGGAGGCGAATGTGAACTTCGACTGATGAGTGGTAGCCGATAGGTTCTATATGTGCTACGAACTGGAACATTGGCTACTGTTACTTCGTTTGTTTCACAATCTGAATGGGTTAATTGGATTACTATTCGTGGAACACATAACGGAACAGCTGTCAGAATGCGTTTACACAATCGAGTACATTATGCCTCAGCTGCATTTCTTCATAAGATCGAAAATGCTTAATTATGCGGTTCTCGCTTAGCTGCAGTTGCAGTTGCAGTTGCAGTTAATTTTAACATCGATGAGAAGCTTATTATAATACGAATTGCATATACCAAAGCCACAGAATTGATTGCAAGCATTTTATGGTATTGCCTAATGTAATAGAAGTATATTTGAAAACTCATATATATATATATATATATATAATTATATATTTTGTATAAAATTTACAATTGCAAAATTTTTCAATATTTATTTTGATTTGAGTTGGTTTAGCATTCATAGCATATATAGATTGGTTTAGACTAGAAATTCCCTTTCGAACTGTTGGCTCTGATATATATATATATATATATATATATATTTTTTTTATTATATATATTTATACATCTATATATACATATATATTTAAAATCTATTTTTATTTGTTGACAGTTAACAATTATGGCATTTTCAATAATTATATTATACCCTCTTCAAGGTTATAAAAAAAGCCCTCGAAAAGTTAAGTTATCGATTGAAGTGCTTTAAAAATTCACAGCTTGTCGCACTAGAACTTGTTTCCATTTCCTTTTGATTAGCCTAAGCGTATGGATTATT